TTTGAAATAAAATAGAGTAGATTATGTATCCATAGTAGCCACTCCATACTTTCTATTCCATACCTAAATTAGACCACCTCTTCTCCCTAAATTTTGGCGGGGGAAACTATATCTTTAAACCGACCGTTGTATTGGCATAGATACATCACACCTTTAAGAACTTTTAAAATGCTGATTTTGCTGATGAGGACTAGGCCTTGTATTTGGACGAGAGGGCTGTTTGCCAAGTTTTAAAGACTAAAATAGACAATCACTTATCTATGATGGTTTAGCTAAGAAGGATCCTGCCTTGAGTAGCAACCTGGATTAGATGTCCCTTCCAGCCCAATTTTGCTATGATGGTATGCTTCATTCATTGTACTCATAGCAATGAGATGGCAGGGGCATGTGGAACCTAGTACCTCTAAGAAACTAGTTAAAAATAAGACTTTTTTTTTTAGTAACTGAAAGATCTTCTGGAGGCTGACTACTGGCCCATTTAAAAATAATCTTATGTGGAACCTGGTTGGATGGAAGGTGGAGAATATTGCAACCTCATCATTTTCTTTGCTCATTTCCAGGGTGATAATGCTAATTGCCATCGTTACAGATGTTTCAGATACGATATAGGAGCACTGGCAGAGTAAACTCAAAGCCAGTTTACTAGCCACATCATTCTCAGCAAAGCGAAATGGGGCTTCTTCATATTCTTGTCTCATTAACTGCAGTAATTTTGCCTGCTGCTTTTCTAATACTGTTGGCCTCAGTGCTTCATTATAATTACTCCAAATCAGTACTACCTCCTGGAGTTGAACAGCTTTTAAAGCTCAAAATCATGCAGTGGGGGTTAATTATGGCAGTAATTTTGGTGAGTTTGACTGGTTTAAAGCCAATGCTTCATTCTGGCTTGAGAGATGTGAGGGCGGGGCAGGAGGAGAGAAGTTGGTAAATTAAATGCTGTGTTTTGTTTGGTTCTCAGAGATGAAGGAATTTGAAAAACAATGGGTTTTAAATTGAAAGTTGCTTTTTTTGCTGCTGCTGCTTTCGTACAGTCAGAGATCAACTTCCAGATGTATGAGCCAGATCTATGAGCCACTGTCTGCTATTGTCACTGAATGAGCAGATTACATTTGCTGTATTTGAGCATTTGTAGAGATTGCAGCTTTTGATTAAGAGCTGTGCTGTTCGTTGGATGCCGCATTCACGCAGGGGGCTGTCCAAGATATTTCTCTGATGAAGGGTTGTTTTGAAGTGTCCGTAGCCAGATCTCAGTCTGTTCAGCTTGACCCACATTTCTCTGTCAAAGTTGTGCTCAATGGGGGACTCGTTTGGTGTTGGTATAAAGTGCTGTAGGAATAAGTCTGATCTTTCTTAGCGGTCAGCCCACTCTGTTACTGCTCATAGGTTTGGTTCAGCCTCCCCAATCCCTTCCAGGAGCTTTTGGGCTTCACATACAAACAGTTTACGACTTCTAAGCCTCTTACACTTCCATCTGTTTGGGTCTTCGGTTAGCAGTCGATGGAGCAGGTGATTTTTGTCATCTCTTGTCTCTCTTGCCAGTAATGATGTTGGGGGTCTGTCTGCTTACGTCACTTGGTCTAATGCCCGAGTGTACAAGGAGCACGTGTGTGTGTGTGTAAGTTGTGCAGCCTGTTATGAGTCTCAGTGCACTGCTAAGTACGGTGTGGAGCTTTTTAGTGACTCCCTTCTTGTGCTACCTCCCATGAGTAGCTGTGAAGCAAAGCTAAAAGTCACGCCGAAGGCAATAGGACTTTTGATTTTATGCTTAACGGGTATAGACAGAAATCACAGTTATAATGTGACCTTATGGTATGGACACATGTATATTTGGAGCTGTTTCAGAAGGGGAGCATTTCAGAAGGTCAGCAGCTGTTTCTTCTAACCATTACATGTGGACAAGTCAGGAACAGCACACATGTAGCAAAACTGCTACATTTAAAACTGTTGAATTTGGAGGGGTTTTGCCATGTGTGTGTTGTTCCCAGCTTGTCCATAGTTAGCAATTAGAACAGGGCTTCTCCAACTGGTAGCCTGTGGGCCACATCCAGCCCACAATGGGGTTAACATGTGGTCCACAGGGTCCTGGCTGGACACCACTGCTCCCATTGCTCCTACCTTGGGCAACTGGTGCCTCCCGAGTCGGGGGGGGGCACCAGATCACCAACGGGGAAGGGGGATGAATCCCCTAGCGGCCGATCGCCAACTGGGGGGTCCTGCAGTGGTTTTTAAGACCCATCTCGACAAAGCCCTGGCTGGGATGATCTAGTTGGAGCTGGTCCTGCTTTGAGCAGGGGGTTGGACTAGATGTGACCTCCTGAGGTCCCTTCCCACCCGAATTTTCTATGATGCTATGAACTGAGGAAGGGTACGTGGTACCCAAAAGCTTGTCTATATCCCTTTCATAGATTCATAGATGTTAGGGTCGGAAGGGACCTCTATAGATCATCGAGTCCAACCCCTTGCATAAG